GCCGCATATATTCGAAATAAATGTGTCATTTTCTAGAAAGAGAACGACTATTAACACAATATTTACCAAAAGCAGAGATGGGTGTGTTATAACCACACACAAAACTTAGTTAATATCACATTTTTTAATTATTATTTTATTAATTTATATGTTTTAAAAATAATTATTTATAATAATTAAAAATATTTATTTATAAATTAATTTTAATTTATTAAATAATAAATATTAATTATTTTTATTAAATATCAAATATTTTTATTAACTTAATTAAGATAAAAAATTTAACCATTGATATTATTATAATAAATTTTAGTATTGCTAAAACCATAATTAGAAGGGGTTAGGCTTGGTTTCGTGTCCCTAACGTTCCCACTATTGGGAGGTGACATTGACAATTCAATCCAAGAGTAAAGTAAGAATAAATATCTCTTATTATATAATTTATTAATTAGTTACATGTATTATAAATATTTTAATTGTAATAATTATTAAAAAATAGGTTAACTATAATTCAAAGTTTCAATAACAGTGACAGACAATAGTTTGTTAATAACCACACAGCCGACCACCACATGAAGGAAAAAAAATCTAAAAAATGGTCCACCTTAGAAAAAGAAGGCTCGAATAATTTAGATCTCATTTTTATTGTGATTATCAAATATTAAATTTATATGAATTGAGTTAGCATTCATATGTGCCCGTGGTCCCATACGATGCAATTAAGAGCACAATTTTATTAAAATCCCATATCTCATTCCCAATATGTTTATATGTATGATAGTAAAGATTCAATAGTCAACAACTTAAAGAATTTAATGGAATCATTTTTTCAACTAATATGTTTATATGTATGATAGTAATAATTCAATAGTCAACTATTTAAATAATTTAATGGAATCATTTTTTCAACGAAAATGAAAAATTTTAAATTTGAATTGTAAAACAAATAGTTGAGGTGTATTAAAAAATAAAAGAAAGTTAAGCATTTATCTAAAGGGAAAGAGAAAAGAGGAGAAGTGAAGGAAAGAAAAGAATTGATATTAATTTTGTTTAAATAGATAAAAGTAAATGAGAGAAAATGATAATATTTTTATTTAATTAAATAATTTAAATAAAAAATAAAATAAAATAAAATAATTTAAAATTCACTAATTAAAAATAATTGATATAAAATATTTATATATTTTAAAAAAAATTAGATGTATAAAACGAATCCCTCTTAATTCCTCTCAATCCCTTTGATTTAAAAGAATCAAAAACAATAGAGTGGAGAGAGTTCTATTTTCTTCATCTCCCTCTCCCTTTATTAAAATCAATAACCAAAATACAAGGAGGCATCTCTCCCTCCATCTCCTTCCCTTCCCCTCCAACTTTCACAATTCAAATTCAAACTAAGGGTTTTCTCTTATTCTACAATCTAAAATCAATTAAAAAAAGAATTTAAAGATATAGTTTAAAAATGATACATATATAATAAAGATTTATTTACATATAAAATTTATATATTACATTTATATAAATCCTAATAATTTATCTTTATATTTTTAATAATTGAAATTTATTCATATTTATTAAAAATAATTATTTTTTATTTAAAAAATCATGATAAATTTTAATCATTAAAAATAAATAAACAAATAATTAAAATCTTATATTAAAAAATATAAAAATTTGCACCTGGGCCTCACGGCCCAACGACCATAGACCGGGTTGTAAGGTGCATCCCCTTAGCCTGAGGGTTAGGGTTCGATTCCTCCCTCCCCCATATTTATAACCTTATTCAAAAAATATATATATAATTTATATATAAATAGATTTCTCCTGTACATGTATGTGTATATAAGAGGATTATATTCCTAGATTGGATCCAATTTTTGCACGGGTTCAGTTTGAAGCCTAAGCCTGAAGCCAACAAGCAGGACTTCCTATGTCTATTACAAGATCCATCTTTGTATATTAGCTGTCGAGTGTGTTTGGTTCTTGGAAAAATGGAAAGTTTCATCGAGATAGGCTTAAATCAAAGGCCAATCATTCCCGAAATAATGCATCATTTTTATTTTATTTTATTTTATTTTTTGTGTGTATCTTCATATGTAATTCAGGACGCGCGATTTTCGAATTGGAATATCATTTAGTAGCAAATTGCGTAATTATGAAAATATACCAAAATTTGATTATGACGTTTTTGAGGTTTAAATCAGATGGAGATGCAATTCATAAGATGGAAACCAAGGCAGAAGAAGGCACAGTCATCGTTTTATTTGGTCGTGGTCAGGAAGATGGATGTCTTGTTCAAAGAATAATGCCAAAAAGGGAGTGACCATTTGGCATATCTTAGAATTAGATGCTCTCTGTTCGGTCAATTCTCATGCTCTAAGTTAGTGGTATTAATCTTGTGTTAACGGGATCATCTCTATAAAGTACAATTTCAAACCTTGAAAATTTCTTTTCCCTTATCCCCTTTTCCTTTTCCCAAAAGAATGTAATCCTAAAAAAGGAAAAAGAAAAAGAAAGAAAAAGAAAAAGAAAAAGAAAGGAAAAGAAGAAGAATAAGAAAAACAAAAAAAACCCACAGCCCTGGGTCATTCGATCATAAATTAAAGAGAAAGTGATGTTCTTTAATACTAAATGGGCTGGGCTGACATTTGTAACTGCAGACCGAGGAGGATGGGTAAGTAAGTGAACCGGACAATCATTTGTCCGGTTGTCCTGAAGTCAATATTGGACAAGTTTGGGCCTGTCACTGATGTTTCCAATTTGTTTTTTTTTTTTTTTTAAGTGGAAAATTATGGGAAAATGAAGAATTTTTTAAGTAATTAGTGAGAATCAAAATTTTAATTAATTAATTTAAATACTAAAATTTAAAGATGAATTCATGGGGTCCAACATGCCAATTCATGTTTCCAATTTGTTTAGTGGGAAAAGGCACGGTAAAGTAAAAGTATCTGATTCCATTTAGGGGCTGTTTGGTTGGTCTCTTCCTCGTAATCCTTATTCGGGGAAGCCAAGGGAGATATGTTGTCGCCTGTTGGCTTGATTTCTTATATATAATTTTATAGAAAGGTAAATATAATCAATTATAAATTATCTTGATTAAAAATGTCGAATTCTTTTTTCAATAAAAAATTATGAAAAAGCTACTTTTAGAGATCTGTAATTATAGTTGATTATAAACTTCATAATTACTTTAAATTTTGTATTGACATTTGTGTCAAAATTTATAAAATCTGAAGGCAAGCCATATTTTTGTGTGACAAACGGCTTCTCGTATTCGTAATTCGAAAAAAGGCTAATCAAATAACTCTTATATAGGAACAATTTATTCTGATTCAGTAATATTAAATTCTGAGTTA